GGAATATGGCCCCGAGGACGACATGGCGATTGAGCAGGCTCTCACGGCACACACAGACGGGCCGGCGCCGTCAGTGACCAACCCACTGACATACGCGGAGTGCGTGCATTCGATCCGCACCGGTGTGCTGCCCACGGGCCAGGTGCTACAAACCGGCCTCGATGGCTACACAGGGCGCTCGGTTCTCATCGACCTGCACGGCTGCCCGGCTGCAAAAGAGGTTGCGAGCGCGCTGGGAGGCAACGAGATGCGCACCCTCTTCGCGGCGCACTTGGACATGCAGCCGACCGCGAGCGCCAACGGGAGTGCACTCACTGCCGCTGCTGCGGCCCGCCTACTGGCTTCTGCTGCTGAGCCGTTCGCCCTCAGCCTGGCAGATGTCAAGGCGCGACTGCTCCACCCGACGCTTCTGGATCAGGTGGGCCGCATGCTCTACCTCGACTCCGTCTCGCAGGGCCTGTCAGAAGAGGACATGCTTAACCTGCAGACAGCTGTTGTGGACGAGAGCGTGTCTTCGTCTCACCCCTGGATGGCGAGCGACGCCCAACCTGATGCCTGTGTGGAGGACGACATCCTCGACGTGCGCGACGTGCTCGCACGCGTGCAAGGGAGCATCAACACGTTTGAGGAAGGCCCTCCGAAGGTGCACGTGGCAATCGTGCGTGACAACACTGAATACTTCGCAATTGCGTGGCAACTCAGCCTGCAGCACAATGCCACCCTGCGCCGTCACCGCCGAGAGCCAACTCCCCCGCCCCCTACCACAGAGGCAGGCTCGGGCGCGTGTGCTGCACACGAAGATGCCCTTCGAGCCGCCCGGCGAGGACTTTAGCCACCCTTGCTACGTTAGAGCGCGACGATTGTGCTCGCCACATAAGATCTGTCCAAAATGGTGTATGAGCATGGCCGTGTTTAATATCAATACTTGAGTAGTTAGCTGTTGGTCAGTATGATATAGCTGTATGTGCCGACGTCGGTTGCTCGGCGTCGTGTTGCGCCGCTACTGGAAGTGCGCGCATGTGGCGTCGTGTTGCGCCGCTACTGGAAGTGCGCGCATGTGCAGTTGATGTGTGTAGACGATCGTTCACTACCTGTAGGGCTGGGCACCGTCTCCTGCTAGCGGTCCCTTTCGTCGATACCGGCTCCCTCCCCCCCCCGCGTTCATCACAGATAGATAGGTTGATAAGAAACAAGAAGCGCAGATCGCAGACAGTGAGGGGGGGAGAACTAAGTTGTCGAGAAAAGCTCTCGTCGGAAAAAAGAAAGTTCTTACCCTTGGATTTCCAAGAGATTTCCCCTTCGCTCGCACCAGAGGCACCTCTAACACGCCCCACTGGATAGGGCCTCCCGACAACGCACCGACGGTAGACCACTGGCGCGCCTCACCACCCTTGGCCATCCCTGTCCCGCAGAAACCATGTTCCGCTTCCTCCTCCTCGCGCTGTGCCTCGCGCTCGCCGCCGCCTTCACCGCGCCGGCGTCTGCGCTTCGCGGCTCGCGGAGCAGCATTGTCATGTCTGGCCCCAACGCTCAGAAGCCTGGCAAGGCCGGCAACCCGCTGTGAGGTTGAATAGATGCTCCGACTCCGACAGGAACACCCGACAGCCGCAGCGGCAAAGGCGTCAAGCTTACGCGCACAACCTTCCGATCCAGGTGGGGCTACACCGTGGGCTCGCGTGCGCCCGACGCCGCCGTCTCCTCGGGCACCACCCAGTCGGAGGAGGCCGAGTGGAAGAAGACCTTCCTCGGCGGTCTGTTTGCCAAGAAGCCGGCGCCACCGCCCAAGACCAAGGGCTCCCGCATGAAGCGCCCCGGCACCATCTAGAGCAGCAACAGGCGCGGTGCATAGCAGATTAGGCACTAGAGATGCCCGCGCGAGCACGCTGCGCGTGCGGCTCTGGCCGGACCGGGCGCCGGCTCCTCTCGGCAACTTGAAGGCGGGCGCCCGCCCCGACACACCGACCCGGGCCGCGCATCTGTGCACGTGCTCAGTGCTTGGTGCATTATTATAAAATCGTTTCGTAGATGGTAGCCCAAACACCAAATTTGATAGATGGTAGCCCAAACACCACAACCGTCCTGAAAAAGCACGGCTCTCGTCGCTCAATGAAAAGCAGAGGTCCGCGCGCGCGCCGCCCCATATCTGAATTTGTCCCCGCGCCGTTGCAACCCCGCAACCCCGCACCCCGCGCACAACCCCCGCCGCCGCACCCCCGGTATCTCGGCCGACGACGTCCTCACGCGCCATGGGCCATGGGCCTTCCTCACCTCCGCCCTCGCCAGCCGCGCCTCCGCCCAAGGACCTAGGCCCCACACGGAGGCACCGCAGCCGGCCCGACGCCGTCCAGGGGCGCGGGGTCTGGCGCGATCGCAGTGGCCGCCGCCGCCACCTGCTGCTCCGCCACTTGCTCCTCCGCCACCTGCTGCTGCTGCTGCTCGGCCATTTGGGCCGCGAGCGACGTGGCGGGCGCCTCGCCGACTGCCGCGGCATATGCGGCCGCGGCGCTCTCCGCCGAC